ACCAAGGTGACAACACGTGCCATAGAAACACGGCAGAACTAGACGACAGGCAACAGCTGGTACTGTTCTTATGTTTGTGTTCAATGTGTGTGCTCCAGTTCACCTTCGGTACCCCTTTTTCCTCTCAGTGAGCCCCAGGGTACACGTTTTAGAGTTGCTGCCATAATTCTATTTTTCTTTAACTTTTCAGCCTGTGACTTTCACTCTTTACCTCTCTTTATCACTTCATCAACTGAAAGAGAAATGTTGTTTCAAGATCAGTTCAGGATGAACAGGTAATCAAGGGCACAGCATTTCTACAGCACAGGACATTCCGGCAGCAACAAAAGTGCCTGCTGAAGGCAAGGCAGGGGTCCAGCCGGCGCGGAGAGGATGTCCAGGTTACTGGGGTTGACCTGTGGGTCAGGAGAGAAAGGCAGATCCACTATAAAGAGATGCTCAGCCAGGTCTGATGGGCTCTCCTGGGAGCCTGTTGGATCAAGTGACCTGGGAGTGAAGAGCCTGCGGTACTTCAGAATGAGCGGGAAATATAAAAAGAATTGTGGTCAGAAAGGCATTCAGAAGAGGGGTGGAAATAAGCGTGCAATTCAATTTGAAGGCCAAACTATTTATTAAAGATTATCAATGTATAATTATTAAGCTTTGACTTGTGAATTTTTCTAAGGCATGTCAAACATTCACTAAAAGAGTGTTGCTCTGAATGGGAATGGATTCCGTGGGGTTTATGATGATCACATGGCGGGGGAAGGATGAGAAGAAGCAGCGAACTGAGTGCATGGTAACTGCCAGACGCTCAAGGTCAGCCAATATTAAGGTTCAAATAACGACCAATTATAACTGATGAGATAAGTCTTGCTCTAAAATTTCTATCAATATAATTAAATGCTCAATAACAAAGTCTTAGGGGCAGGCATTGAAGGACAAATACCATATGATCTCACCTTTGACAGGAAGCTAAAGAATAAAACAAACAAGCAAACAGAATAAAAACAAAGACGCTGAAATAGAGAACAAGTGGGCAGCGACCAGAGGGGAGAGGGAAGGGAACTTAAGGGGAAAAAGGGGGAGGGATTTTGAAGAACAAGTATGAAAGACACAGAGATGAGGACTGGGGGGGGGGGGGGAATGGGAGGGAGGGGGGAGACCGGGCGGGGGGGGGAAGAGAAAAAAAAATGTACTTGAAAAGTAACTAAATAAAATTTAAAAAAAAAATAAATAAAATAAAATAAAATAAAATTAAAATAAAAAAAACATCTCTATCGTTAGCATTCCCCTGGAGGTCCCTCACATTTGTTAAGCCTCAAAGGAAGTCTTTAAACTAAAAGCACTTAGTCATATTTAAAAAAGGCGTGAACTAACCCCATTTATTCCAGAGATTGTCAGGAGTGATGGGGCCAGCTGTCACTGACTAAGGGTCTGCTACGTTCCACAAACTACGTTCGACAGTTTACACATAATTTCCCATTGGCTCACAATACCCCAAGGAGATGGGCACTGTTTTCCCATTGGGTAGTTTGATGTGAGCTAGATGTATAGTCCATGAAAAGGATGATATATTTTATCACAGTGGAAACAGCCTGGGAACAGGGGAACTTGCCAGGTCCTCCTTGTCACGTCGAGCAAAAAGCATCTATTAAGTGACTGAATGGTGTAATACTTGTTGACAGTTTACAGGCTAAAGGTTAAAGTAAAAAACTGGGAAAAAAACTGTCATGCAATTTTGTAAATTTGGAATGAAGTTTGTAGCAGGAATTCAATAAGTGGTGAATTATTAAATACATGAATGAAACCAGGCAACCAACTGACCAAATGCTAGACCATGTGGTACTAACTCTAAGAATTACAACAGTCTAGAGAAGAAAAGTTCGCCATGGACTTGGGTAGTAGATTTCAGGAATGAAATAAGATCTGAGGAGGACCTGGGGGAATCAGGAATATTGGAATTATAAAGGAGAATTGAAGTCATATGGTGCAGAAAGAACACTGTGAGCAGACACAGAGCCTGTCCTGTCCCCTCTGTCACCTTTTGTATTGCGCTCATCTGCTCCTTTGCCCTACTTTTGAGCTCTGTCCAGCTAGTTCTCAGAATGCCTGGAAGCTGGCATCGATTTTGTCATGGCATTTCTGGATTAACCAGGAATGCCTCTGTCCTTTGGTAGGGAGTGGAAAAACAAATAGAGTTTGCCCTATGGATGATTCTAGGCTTTTGCAAGCAAAGAAATAAACTATTCTAAATGAGGCAGAAAGCGTGACAAGTATCTTGCACTCCCAAAGAGCTGTGAAAAGGGCTTCCCATGGAAATTTTGGCATTTGGGAGCTCCTCTCAAAACTTCCAGAAAGACATTCCTAACAGGTCCTCACAACAACCTTTCCACTCCCTTGGTGCCTCTGCCCTGAAGTCAAGGCCAATGCAAACACACCCTTCTCAGGCTTTGGTTACAGGGGCTCCACACAAAACCCAAGGTTCTTCCATTCACTGGGGGCTGGTTTTGCAGGGTTTGGAAAAGCATCTTCTAGCCCAGGTTTGCTGAGCCATTCCCAGCTTGGCTTCTGTCAGATTTCTGGAATTAGAGTCACTTTATAATTTGTATCAGGAGAGGTGATGATGGTAGCCTTCATCTGACCGATCACTTTTTTTACTCTGAAAAAGGCTCTATCTAGTACTATACCATTCTGTTTCAAAGTCATGTCTTCTTTATTCTGTTTTTCAGAGACAATAGTGACACAAGAAGCTGTGCCTAGCTGCAAATCTGCTTTTCGGAAACAGAGCTCACTTTGGGAGTGGAAAAAGTGACCTCATTTTTGACAGGTTGAGAGACAGCCCCTATTTTGTTACTTTTCCCAAGGCAGTAGCAACATCCTTCATAGACAAGATCAGCTGCCACCCCGGTATCTCCGCAGAAGACAACTGTTACACTCTGTCGGCATTCAATGCCTTGTACTTCCAAAATAGTGCAGGGAAGCTCACAGCAGATCCGGAGAAAGGGGAAAAGGAATGAAGACCAGTAGGAACCTTGAACTAGTGTGAGGAGGAGTCAGTGAAGGCCTAAATTCTGCCCTGGAAATTCCTGTTTTGAGATTCTGGTGGTAGTCTTTAATGAAAGACTTTCTTGTGAAGGCTGACAGTTTTTTTCCTTTGGGATTTAAAAAAACCTGGGTCTATGAATCCAATATTTTGATGGCAAAAGTCTTGCCTTTTTGTTTTACATACTATTAAAAAAAAACATCCAGAGGGTGGAAGCAAGAGAGGGAGGTGGGTCTGGCTGGGGTGGGGGGGAGTGGTGGGGGAAAAATGCAGACAACTGTAATTGAATAACAATAAAATAATTTAGAAATAAAAAACAAACAAAAAATGCTCAGTCAAGGAACAGAACAACTATGTAGGAAAACGGTATATGGATCCGAAGGAAATATTTTTGGTTACCAAGATCACAGCATCTACTTGTGTTGATTATACAACTCCAGCTAATTTCACTTCCTGTCTGGGGTACCATTTCCTGGTCGAAGTGGGAAAAATGTCGCATCTTTCCCCCGAGTTAACAGATTGCCCAAGTGAAAGGCATCCGCATGTGCCAGGCCTCGAATGAAGAAGGAGCCAGTTCAGGACCTGGCACCGGGAAGCTGAGTGGCATTGCTCCCAGAACTCTCATCCAGGAAAGAGCCATTTAGGGATCTGGATCCTTCAGTGTACAGGACAAATGACGAAAATGAAAGGCACAATACAGGGGAGTGAAACCAGAAACTTGAATGGAGTTGTAATCACTTCCTTAGTGTAGATCACATTATTTTTAATGTAACTTCATCCCATAATTCAGTCCTTGTCTAGTGTAATAATACAGATTTCCATTTATCTATTGCTAAATGAGAATGATTACTATGATGACCACTGACTGATGTAGGTTACTAGCACTGGTGGGGAAGAGAAGTGGAAAATTGTTCGGGGAGGTGGGAAGGGACTGGCAATCATCTGGAAGAAACAAAACTGAAGAGAGAAAGAAGTGCTGATTCCCTACACGGGATCAGTACAAACTGATGTTCAGCTACAGGGTTATTTGAGATGGTACCTGATGGTGCCAGAAAGGAAATATAAATCAGGCAGGACTTTAAATAGCTGTGATTTCTGTGTGAGAAAAAGGTCTGAGGCATGAAGTGGGGCCAGGGGTGGGGGGTGAAAGTCTAGGTTAAGGGCATTTACAGTGTACCTGACACCTAATTACTAAATTTCAGGTCCCACAAATTGGAGATCTAGTATCTCCAATATATTGGACCTACAGGTCCAAATAGTGAGGGGCTGGGAGGAGGAGACAAGGTGATAATTCAGGATGAGCCATGGTTTCCACTCAGGTGACCTGGAGTGACTCTATGAACAGCCAACTTCACTAATAAAAAAAAAAGAAGAAGAAAAAGCAGCTCTCAGCTAAGCTCTCTCCGATGAATAAATAGGAGGAGACAGTTGAATTTGACACCAAAGACCAATGAAAACCTCCCTTTCAGCTGGATCAATTTATTGCATTCTACCTTCCTCAGTTTTAGAACCGAGATTTGCTCTCTTTGAGCCAATTATATTTGTCAGCTAATCTGTTTTGACCAAAAGCATGGGCTGTCTCAGATAAGCTTCTTTCCTTATAACCTGGAGCTTCGAATTGGTCGCAGTTTCTTACAGGGTCCCTTGGTCTACTCATTAAGTATCAATAGACATATGTCTATTTATATGAACCACTTTAATAAAAACATACCCAATTTCTAGCATCTACTTCAACAAAAAGGCCTTTTGATTCAGTGCCCAGTTTTTGTTTTTCAGCCATCATATTTGGCCAGTAAGATTCTACCTCAGTGAGTGGTCTACAATGGCGATAGGCTATTTTAAATGTCTGTTAGTTGTTTCTTTCAATGTATGTTTACGCCTTTTTAGCAGGTAGCTTACTTATATCTGTTTGAAAATAAAAATAAATATTCCTTTCAGTAACCCAACATCAAATTTTCCCATGTTATCAACTCACCAGAATTAAGTAAAATGATGGATTTGAGGCACACAAACTCCTCTCCCTGGAGATTCATCATACGAAACCGAGATGACGTAGCCAGCAACATGTCAAAGATCTCTACCATGCCCTCTACGCATTTTCCCTGGTTCCTATGAAAACACAGAAAAAAAAGGGCATTAAAGGACAGAGAAGCTTCCAGAAAACGTGATGAGGTTCACATTCATAAAAATCTACTGGATCCAAATTTGTATCAAAAACCAGTAGCTACTTTGTTTGAGAAATATGAACATTCATTTGAATTCCAGATGGCAAGGCCAAAAGATTTTCCATCCATAAACCATTTTCATTTCAATTTTTTACAAGAGGTGTATTGTTCAGTCCCCAAATCTGCTGTGTTAATTATAGATTTCCCAATCCATTGGGTAATCAAACATGATTAAGATTCAGGTAAATGATTTTTTTCTAATAAATATTTCTTGATCTGCTACTATATTCCAGATATTATGGTAGTTACAAGAATGAAAACAGGGCCTCTGCTTTCAATATGTCTGTGGCCTTGAAATAACATAATCAAGTATAACAGATGTGTATAAAGTGCTTTGGAACTAGAGCAAAAACTCTGAAAACTATGGTCTCTAGACGGGCTGATCTATTGATGTTGCTGAGGATGGCAAGTGGGAATTTGATTACTAAAGATCATTTGAGTTGACACTTTAAGAGAATGTAGGTATTCATTGAGTGGAGATATGAAAGCATCATTGGAAGAGAGTCCTAAATATGGAAAGGAGGAACAGAGTGAAATCATGTGGAGCAGTGTGCTAGAAGGAGATAAATTACTGTGAGAAAGAAGAAGGTCAGGTGATAAAGGATGCCCCACATCAGTATAAGAAGTGTAGGCTTTTCCTTATACAACAGAGTCTTTTTTATTATTTTAATAATTTTATTTAGTTATTTTTCAAGTACAATTTTTGTCTATTTCTCCCATCCCAGCCCCCCCCTGCCCTGTGCTCCCACCTCCCTCCCATTTCCACACCCCTTAGTTCTCATCCCTGTGTCCTTCACATTTGTTCCTCCAAATCCCTCCCCTTTTTTCCCCCTTAAATTCCCTTCCCTCTTCCCTCTGGTCACTGTCCCCTTTTCCTCTATTTCAGTATCTTCATTTTTATTCTGCTTCCTTGTTTGTTTTGTTGTTTAGCTTCCTGTTAAAGGTGAGATTATATGGTATTTGTCTTTCAACACCTGGCCTATTTCACTCAGCATAATGCTTTCCAGTTCCATCCATGTTGTTGCAAAGGGTAGGAGCTCCTTCTTTCTCTCTGCTACATAGAATTCCATTGTGTATATGTACCACAATTTTTTGATCCATTCATTTACTGATGGGCACCTAGGTTGCTTCCAACTCTTGGCTATTGTAAATTGTGCTGCTATGAACATTGGGATGCATAGGTTTTTTGAAATTGATGTTTCAGGATTCTTAGGATATAATCCTAGCAGTGGAATTGCTGGGTCAAAAGGCAGATCCATTTTTATTTTTCTGAGAAAATTCCATACTGTTTTCCATAATGGTTGTACCAGTCTGCAATCCCACCAACAGTGAACTAAGGACCCCTTTTCCCCACAACCTCTCCAACATTTGTTGTTTGTTGCTTTGTTTATGATAGCCATCCTGACTGGTGTAAAGTGGTATCTCATTGTGGTTTTAATTTGCATCTCTCTGATAGCTAACAATATTGAGCATCTCTTCATGTGTCTCTGGATATTCTGTATGTCCTCCTTGGAGAGGTGTCCAAGTCTTTTGCCCATTTTTTAATTGGATTAGATGTCTTCTTAGAGTGGAGTCATGTAAGTTCTTTGTATATTTTGGAGATTAAACCTTTGTCTGAGGTATCATTGGCAAATATGTTTTCCCATACAGTTGGTTCTCTTTTTAATTTAATACCATTTTCTTTAGCCACACAGAAGCTTTTTATTTTGATGATATCCCATTTGTTTATTCTTTCCTTTATATTCCTTGCTCTAGGGGACATATCGGTAAAAATGTTGCTGCATGAAATATCTGAGATTTTCTTGCCAATGTTCTCCTCTAAGACTTTAAAATGGTGTCACGGCTTATATTTAAGTTTTTTATCCACCTTTAATTTATTTTGGTGTATGGTGTAAGTTGGTGCTCAAGTTTCATTTTTTGCACATAGCTGTCCAGTTCTCCCAACAGCACTTGTTGAAGAGGCTATCTTTACTCCATTTTATGTTACTGCCCCCTTTGTTGAATATTAATTGACTGTAGAGAGTTGGGTTTATTTCTGGGCTCTCTGTTCTGTTCCATTGGTCTATGTGCCTGTTTTTATGCCAGTACCAGGCTATTTTGATTACAGTGGCTTTGTAATACAGTTTGATATCAGGTATTGTGATCCCTCCTACTGTGTTCTTCTTTCTCAAAATTGCAGCTGCTATTCAGGGTCGTTTATGGTTCCATATAAATTTTTGAAGTGTTTGTTCTATGTCTGTGAAATATGTCATTGGTACTTTAATAGGTATTGCATTGAATCTGTAAATTGTTTTGGGTAGTATGGACATTTTGATGATGTTAATTCTTCCAATCCATGAACAAGGAATATGTTTCCATTTGTTTGTGTCTTCCCTGATTTCTTTCTTCAGTGCTGTGTAGTTTTCTGCATACAGGTCTTTTACCTCCTTGGTTAGGTTTATTCCCACATATTTTATTTTTCTTTTTGCTATATCGAATGGGACTTTTTTCTTGATTTCTGCTTCTGCTGTTTCATTGTTGGTATACAAAAATGCCTTTGATTTCTGGATATTGACTTTGTATCCTGCTCTTTTGCCAAATTCACTAATTAGTTCGAGCAGTTTTTTGGTAGAGTCTATAGGATTTTCCATGTACACTATCATGTCATCTGTAAACAATGACAGTTTTGTTTCCTCCTTTCTGATTTGGATGCCTTTTATTTCATTTTCTTGTCTGATCACTGTGGCTAAAACTTCCAATACTATATTGAATAGAAGTGGTGAAAGTGGGCAACTTTGTCTTGTTCCTTATCTTAATGGGAAATATTTTAGTTTTTGTCCATTGAGTATGATGTTGGCTGTAGGTCTCTCATATATGGCCTTTATTATATTGAGGAATGCTCCCTCTATTCCCATTTTGCTGAGTGTTTTTTATCATAAATGGGTGTTGTACATTATCAAAAGCTTTTCCCGCATCTATTGATATGATCATGTGATTTTTGTCTTTGCTTTTGTTTATGTGATGAATTACATTTACTGATTTGCGAATGTTGAACCATCCTTGCATCACTGGGATGAATCCCACTTGGTCATGGTGTATGATCTTTTTGATATATTGTTGGATGCGGTTTGCTAATATTTTGTTGAGGAGTTTAGCATCTATGTTCATCAGTGATATTGGCCTGAAGTCCTCTTTCTTTGTTGTGTCTCTATCTGGTTTTGGAATTAGGGTGATGCTAGCTTCATAAAAAGAATTTGGGAGTTTTCCATCCTTCTGGATTTTTTGGAATAGTCTGTGAAGAATAGGGGTTAGCTCTTCCTTAAATGCTTTGTAGAATTCTCCTGTGAAACCATCTGGTCCAGGGCTTTTGTGTGATGGGAGTTTTTTGATTACTGCTTCAATTTCTTTTGCTGTTATTGGTGTGTTCAGATTTTCTATTTCTTTTTCATTAAGTCTTGGAAGATTATATTTTTCTAGAAATGTGTCCATTTCCCCTAGGTTTTCAAATTTCTCGGCATACAGTTCTTCATAGTAATTTCTTACAATGCCTTCTATTTCTGTGGTGTCAGTTGTCTTTATACAACAGAGTCTTGGCACCAGGGATTGAACATTCATAACATGACATGTAATTTATAACGTGATATTTTTAAAAGAACTGTCTGAGTATCATTTGCATAAAGTTGTAGAAGTTAAATGAGATGACAAAAATGAAAGGAATTCATTTATGTTTTTTGGTTCACAAGCTGAATTTGGGGCATGATATGTTTGAGAGGGGCACAAGGAAGTTAAAATATTCTATGCATATGCAAAGATAAATTGTGAAATATATCCAAATTTAAAACATGAACACTAAACACATTGTCTAGCACCTTTTTTTGCTTTGTTTTCAATTAATATACTTAGAGTTCTTTATCAACTTTTTCTAACAACTGCATATTTTTCACTAAAATAATACTACAATTTCTTTAACCACCTTTTTGTTGGCTGACATTTACTATGATTTTAAGTATTTTGCCATTACAAACATCTCTGGGAATGACTACCCTTATGCTGTGTCTCTGGGCACATGTATAAGTAGCTATAGAATAAATTCCCAGAAGTAGAATTGCTATATATGCATTTATGTATTTTTAAATTTTGATAAGTAGTCAAATTATTGCTTCCAAAGAGCTTGTAGCAATAGGCAGTTGGTAGGAGAATAATTGGTATATGCTTTCTCTCATATTTTTCTGTTGGCTCTTAGTCATTTTCACATTGATTTTTAAGAGCCCTTTATAAGATAACCCCTATTCTTCACAGACTATTCCAAAAAATCCAAAATGACGGAAGACTCCCAAACTCTTTTTATGAAGCCAGCATCACCCTAATTCCAAAACCAGATAGAGACACAACAAAGAAAGAGAACTTCAGGCCAATATCGCTGATGAACATAGATGCTAAAATCCTCAACAAAATATTGGCAAACTGCAATACATGAAAAAGATCATACACCATGACCAACTGGGATTCTCCCAGTGATGCAAGGATGGTTCAATATTTGCAAATCAGTAAATGTAATACATCACATAAACAAAAGCAAAGACAAAAATCACATCATCGTATCAATCGATGCGGGAAAAGCTTTTGATAAGGTACAACACCCATTTATGATAAAAACATTCAGCAAAGTGGGAATAGAGGGAACATTCCTCAATATAATAAAGGCTATATATGAGAGACCTACAGCCAACATCATACTCAATGGACAAAAACTAAAATATTTCCCATTAAGATAAGGAACAAGACAAAGTTGCCCACTTTCACCACTTCTATTCAATATAGTATTGGAAGTTTTAGCCACAGTGATCAGACAAGAAAATGAAATAAAAGGCATCCAAATCAGAAAGGAGGAAACAAAACTGTCAT